CACCACAGTCACACATTATTATTATTATACATCTACGAGCACTGATATTTTTATTTCGGTAGTCGCCGATACCGAATACCGATACCAGAAGTCCCAATAAGGAAGCAAGGTAAACACTTGCCACCTGGCTTCTCCATTAGAAGGGAAGCCGTCTCTATGGTGACGAGAAAGCATGGAGCCATCTTTCTGGCCAATCAGGAAGCCGGATGCCGTGTAATGACGTGGCGCCCTGCTTCCTAAAAGCCAGAGAAGCCAACTCCATGGTCCCTCGTCACGTAGTGATGAGGGAGCATGAAGCCGGCTTCCCGGCCAATCAGAAAGCCGGGCAGCACGTCATTACATGACACCCGGCTTCCTGATTGGCCAGCTTCCTGACCAACCAGGAAGCCGGGCAGTGGGTCATTACACACTGCCCGGCGTCCTGATTGGCCAGGAAGCCGGCTCCATGCTCCCTCATCACAAGTGACGAGGGAACATGGAGTCGGTTTCCTGGCCAATCAGGAAGCCAAGCAACATGTAATGACTCGCTGCCCGGCTTCCTTATACCGGAAGCTCATCGGGCTAGGCATCGGAGCATTTGGGCAAGTACTCGCCCAAATACTCGGCATTGGCACCGATACCGATACTAGTATCGGTATCGGTGCATCCCTAATGATTATTATACATTTATATCGCTCTGACATATACCGCAGTGCTGTACAGAGAACACTGAGGCAGTCACATCCATCTCTGCTCCATTTGTACCTTTCATATCAATCTCTACAGCACAGGGACTTACACTCCCCCACCACAAGATGGTACCCACCAGGGACGTGCGGTCAGGGGAGGCAGGTGAGGCAAAGCCTCACCTAGAATTATGGAGGAAAAAGCTGTCAGCTTCAAGTCTGAAGCTGACAGCTTTTTCTCCATTCAGATCGGCTTTTAGCAAGCTACACAGCAGAGAAATCCTCCCCGCTGTGTGACCTGTCATGGACGGAGCGCTAACTGTTAATTACAGGCAGTGCTGCATCCGGCTTTTGACAGGAAGTTAGTGAGGGACAGGGAGGAGCTCCTCCCTGTCTCCTCCCTTACTACTTCACACTAGCTTGGAGACAGGTTGGGGGTGGGGTTTTGTCAGGTGGGGGCGTGGCTT